TTTATATTAATTCTCCTTACTTTAGTTACTTACACAAGTTAATGAAACAATCATCCCAGCACTTGTTTCATTTGACGACAATAGCAATTTAGTTGGTTTAGATGCTGTCATTGCAGGATGGGGTAAATTAACAGATGGCTTAAACCCAAATATTTTACATACAGTTAATGTGAGAATTATATCACGAGACGACTGCGAAACTATAGCTTATCGAGTTGTACAACGCTATGTTTATATTAGCGAAAGATATCTTTGTACCTTGGCTGAACCATATGCTCTTATAAACTCTGTATGTAATGATATAATCTATTTGAATATTAAAATTTTCAATAATGCACACTCAAAAAACATTATTCGCTTATAAAAACATTAAAAAAAAATCTCTATGTCTTCTTTACATGTAAATTTTACTATTACTGACTATAAAGATATTAAAACTAACCTTTCTTGTTAGGGTGACAGTGGTGGTCCACTTATTTTTGGGAGTTTTATTTTAGGTGTTAACCAAGGAACATGCCCCAGAACAGGTACTATAATTGATATACGAAAAGCCAATCTTCATTGTGGTGTTGATTATTACAGAATGTTTATTAATGATTTGATGCGTTTATAGATATTATATGTAAATACAAATTTTTTATTTTAAATAAACTTCTTTAAATAAAATTTCTTATATAAGTTCATTTCTATAAATTATTTTAATTTTCGATTACTTTATGCATTTAAATCTTGAATTTGTTATATTACATTTATTTAATTTTCTATAGCAAAGCAAGTATTAAGAACAAGCATTTCATTTATAAATATAGTTTGCTATTAATGAACTGAAAAAATAGAATTTTTAATGATGAGAGAAACATTTTTATTAAAATTGTATTTCGTATTCAAACTAAATGAGTTTTTTTTTAAGGCAAGTTTAATCTCATACATTTCTAAATATTGTTCCAAGTTTTCGTATTTGTAGACAGTTATATTGATAGGGTACTTAAATTCAAAAAGCTAACTGACTTTTTAAATGACTTGAAACATCATTTATCATATTTGTTTGAGAATAAGAGACTCCGTTTAGTAAGGCAATAAAATATCTGACAAGTAATGTCATGAATATTGTATTTAAGACTTCAAAACTTTCCTGCTCATAATTATTTGTACTAGTGTCATAAGACATCTGGAAAACTCTAGCGGAACGTGCTCATACTCCCAGTGCAGTAGAACCTAATGGGTTTACTGCTGCGAGAACCCCAAAGTAGATTCAGAACGAATATCAGATATGCGTGAAGCATTGAGTATAAATATTTACTGCAACCGAAAACCCGTACGTACTACACATGCAATGACCATACGTGCGCACTCGGCCTTTAAGACAATGCTTGCATTGTTCTTGGCTATGCCACATCTGGTCGATCGTATTGGAAAATTGACCACGCCCAAGCGGACCCTTCTTCTAGCCAAGTCCCAGAGAAGGATGAGGCAACCAATGGAAAAGGCTCGCCATCTTCCGACACTTTCCCGATTAGCAAATTCGGAACTGAGCCCGGAAGGAAGTGGAAATGAAGGCGTGCATAATCTATTGTGCGACCCAAGATCAACCACTGATTGGTTAATTAATAAAGGAAGAAGGGATCCCAAGTGGAGCGGGATCAGTGAACCATTTAAGAAGGGACTACGTAATGTACCCTCACTTACTCTTTCCAAATACTTCTGACAGTTGAAGGATAAGTCACGACCTACTCTCACGGAGGAGGACCGGAGAGATGAGTCGTTTAGCTAGCTGAGTTTTAATAATAAGTTCTTTCCACTATTGTGAATTAGTGTACAGTTGAATTGATCTCATCAAGACTGGATTGCGTGGGACCTGACCACTTGTGGTCTCACTTGGAGACAAGGAAGAACTGAAGGGTTGCAACATTGCAAGGGAACGTAATAACAAGCCATCGAAGAGAGACTGGAAAATCACGATACACTGCAAGTAAGTCCTTACAGCTAGTACTCATTCTTGATTTCTCGGCTTATGTAGAAGACGGACGGATAAAGTCCAACTACGGAAGCTTCCCGGACATACTCTTGAACAAGACCAGCTATAAACGCCACATTGGCTTCTCAATCCCTCCAACTACAAGTTGTTCCCCCACAAGATTATCAAGAAATATAAAGTTCGTCTGTAATTCACCCTTTTGTAAATCAATTCAAATAAATAGAAATAATAAAGACATGTGTTAATTATTAATCAGTGCATTCACCCTTTACTTGCCCGGCAACCCCACATAACATCTAGTGGGTTTTATTGTTCTACGTTAATTATTGCACGTTTGGCTGACTAGTCAAATTGTGGGATTATTTTCCGAACAATATTATATGTAAATTTAAAATTAATTTATATATTATTATTAAATACATTAATAAATTTTTATTTTTATTTATTTTTTAACATATTTATACATATACTTGTACTTATTCATATACTTAGATATATATATATATATATATATATATTAAATTTTCAAGTTATATATAAAATTTTAATTATTTTCTCAATTTTATACTCTTGCTGTCTATTATAAACCATAAATGAGTAGCTAATTATTTTTAAAATACGTAAAAATAAAAATAATAATCAAATATATTATCCAGAAATTAACGTAATAATATTATAATAATTTCATATTATTATCGTAATTACACGATGATTTTATCATGAGTATATATTAAAAAAATTAAGTGAATTAATGCTCGAAAATCAATAATAATATATTTAAAATATATTTTAGATTACATTATACTCAGAGAAAGTTTCAATAAATTTAGGGCATTTATAGCTCAATAACGATGAGAAATTCCTATCAATATTATAAGTATGAAATATTAAATAATCATGACTAATTTAAAAAAATTTTAACTATATATATAATATAAAAAAATAATACATGAAAATAATATGAAATAAATGAAAATAATAAATTGTATTACAAAATCATGTAACATCTATTAAAATTTAAATAAATTTAGTATAATGAATTCTAGGTTTAATAGCAATAGGAAAATAATATTTCGTTATTGCGACGTCATAAAATTTTATTTATTTTTTTTTATTTGTTTAGTATATGTATTTTTAATATTATCATAAATTCATTATAATTTAACTTATATATGATATTTTTTTTACTTGCTGTAAGCAGTATAACATATTTTTCTATTTTCAACTTTTAAAATGTGAATGAAAATCAATATTTTAAAATAATTATTTAAAAAATTATTTTTTTAGTAATAATGATTTATTAATAACACTTATTAATTATTTATGATTAAAATAATATTTTGCTTATATTAAATACTATAATAATTACGAATAATAAATATTAATAATTAATCATATCTATAAAATTATATATAAATTAATAATAAATTAATTGAATAAATTAAATGATATAATAATAAATTTTTAATTTGCAAAGAACAATATGCTCTTTAATATCATCAATAATTATCTTCAATAATTATTGGTATGGTCACTAAATTGAGGTAAGGTAAATGTTCAAATTTGTAATACGTCAAATCAACTATTCAGCATTATGTTTCTTTATTATATACTAGACAATCCTCATCTCATGCTCCTTTTATATTGTTCCTTCTTTCTCATACATTGTTAAGTTTTTAAATAGATGCAAACATTCATTCGGATGTTAGGATTGAATTTACTGCAATATTAGTACTACATCCTATATATATATAATGTTATTAGTTTATTTAATGCAAGAAATTGGAGTAACTAGTTGGAAAAGATTTTTATATTCTTTTTTAAAATTATACCATTTTTAATATTTTACGTTTTCTTCTTTTCGTAGTTTACTTTTTTCGGATGCATTTTTGTATTTTTTGTATTAAAATAATACCACGAATAAAATTATAAGCTCTTCTTAAATAAATTAGTCAAAAATTAATTATTGTTTTAACTTTGTACATTCTTTAATGCGCTAAAAATCTAAGACACTTATGCTTGGTCTAATTAGTTAACTCTACACAAAATTTTTCCATGACATAATATTCTATATCAATATCAAATATCAAATTTATCAAAGATATATATATTCATTTAATTTATTATCATTATTTTACATATTTTATAATAAATATAATACATTATGACAGGTAAAAAAATAGAAATTTCTGATATAGTTCCATACAATAATAATTATTTAGAAAGTAAATAATTATTAATATTTATTAATAAAATGGATTACCTTTAAAAATATTACTTTAAAAATTATTATTCTGCAATATAACATTTTATATAAATATTTTATAAATATAAGAACAATAATCTATAATTGTTATAATAAATACTCCTCAAAGGATAGAAATACATAAAAACATTTATAAATAATTTTTAACATATAGCTGTTTAAATTTCTGATACAGTGAAATTTTTTTATATACAATTATATTATTTTATAATATACTGTCATTATTTTAATATCAATATAATAATACTTGGTCATTTAACATTCATATTTGTAATCCTGATTGCAATAAAAATTTAATTTATATTTTATTCGAAAACAATTATCTTACGTTTTTAATCTTATGTAGATGTAAATAATAAATTATTATCTTATCAGAGAGGTATATGACTAGTATCTAAGATAAAATATCTTTATATTAAACATTAAAATTAGTTTATACGTTCATTTCCTGATGGGATACAAATTATATATTTTATTAGACAAACTATTATATTAAGTATTGATTCATCTATAAGTAATAAGGTATATTGAAATGTATGAAACATTAACACCAAAATAAATTTTTATAGAATATTTAAGAAACTTGAGGGCTTTTTAAGCATTTGAAATAATATGAGAATGAACATTTTTTAAAAATGCAATAAGCTTATAAACAATTATTCTGTAGAAAAATTATTTAAAAATTATCTTACAAATATAAAAAGCTACTTTTTAATGTTTAATCAGGAGCCAAAGATTAATCTGCAATAGATTTAGAAGCTTCTTATTCAGGATGAAATAAATCAAAATACATTTATAAGCTATCAATATTAATAGTTATGCTTTAAGGAGCACAAACATCCGAATATTTACGAGAAAATTGAAGAGTTTGAAAACAACAATCGACTTGATAGACTATTCCTAATTCAGTCTGGCGCGAAAATCTGTTGACTTGGTCGTGAGTGGCGCTGCGCGCACTTGATTCTACCCCGGAGTTCCGTTCTTAGGTGACGAGGTACGTAGGCAGCTTGGTAGTTCGTGAGTACTTGCAGTCGCTGAAATATGTTGCGCGCGCGAACATACAATCGGAACTGAGTTCTATGGGACCACTCATTCGAGGCCAAGACCCTCACAGATTTGATATGTGAGTATGGAGTATCCAGCGATTGTACCGTTTCTTTTAATTTCGGAGCTTACGTCTGAGGATTTGTTAACGTAGCTTATCTAGCGTTTACTGAACACAGACAGAACTATGGCTTTCTTCTGACTTTTGTATTGACGACCATAAGGCTTATATTTTTATACCTTATGTTAATAGGCATGTACTTTATACTAAAATTTATTTAACAATTTAATTTTATTATTATGATTTTGTTACTGCATAAATAAACGTGTGTTTTAAGCAATTTGTTATGCTTCTTAATTAGTTTAGTTTGCAAGTTTAATGTTTAAATCTGCCTTAAATCTATCTGAACGTAATATCATGACATTAAATAGAACTTTAATTACAGTACTTTCCGTAAAAGTCTTTTAAATTCGATTTGAATTTTATGATTATATAGTTTATTTTCTTACAATATCAAATATTCCAATAGTTAAAATATTTGAGTATAATCTTAGAAATATAATATAAAAAAATTTTCTGTGAAGAATGAAAAAACAATTTTACTATTTTAATAAAAAATTAACTATTATTTTAATGTTAAAATTCATATTTATATCTATTTACTAGTTAAATATTCTTACCTTGTCATGTATCGCTTAAAATCGAAAAATATGTATATGTATATTTTACCACCATAAAAATATAGAGTTTATAATATATAAAAATATTGTATATTCGCCTTTAAATTAATATAAAATCATTATAAATAAATTAACAACAAAATAAAAAAAGTAAAATTGGCAATATGGAAGAGAATTAAAGTAGTATGAAATGCCAATATTTCATCGTGCCCATTCTAATTTATCATCTATTTTAAATGAGCGTAAAAAAAGGATACAAGTGAAAAGGCTCAGTCGAAGTTGAAATACTTGTATTTACATATTTATAAAATTGCATTCATGCCATTAATTGTAAGAATTTCTGAACCGACATGAAATCGAAGGAATACGGCCTTCAAATAAAATGCTCGCTTTCCAATTACTCACTCGATCCATTACTGCATATACCTAGTTTCCGTTGCTTAGCAATGATTACATTTTTTCATTTGAGTTTATCTATGCATCTTTTGGGGATAGAAATTGGATTTATGTCTTTAATTAATATGATGTCAAGTATTCCTATAAAAATAAAATATCACAAAGTAAGAGCGATAAAGCAAATACATTTAAGAAAATATGTAAGTGAATTACAAGTAACGATTAAAATATTAAAAAGATGAGTGCTAGAATATCTAAATTCATAATACTTCATTTAAATGATATTTATTTGATTAATTAATTAATATTAATAATGTTTTTAAAAAATTATATCAAATATTGTTTACTTTCATTGAAATCTATATTTTTATGTAAAGGATAGACTCATACACATACCTAATAAAATAATATTCATTATTTTAAAGCGATTTATGAATTAATGAAATTCTGTATTTAGTATTCTCTTGGTTAAAGTAATTACACAAATTTAACTACAATCCATTCACGTAATTAATACAAATATATACTATGATGCTTATCAATTTCTTACACATTAATTTATTATACCTTAAGTAAAATATTTAATATTATTATTTAATATTGTTAAGATTCTTTTTCACTATATAAAATATAAAAAATGTTAATGAAATAAAATATCAATAATTATTTTCATATGATACATTATAAGTAGTAAGTTAAGATTATTCTATTTTTATAATATATCTTGTAAAAGAATCATAAAAATCATTTTAAATATTTAAAAAATTGTTTATTGATTATTGTAAATAATATGTTTCAATGACGATAAGAAAGTACATCGTTTTATGTATTAAAATGATTTTATAAACAAGAGTTTATTTATAATCACTCGATCATGTTATAAAAAAGGATTTATATTTTTATCATAAATTGAATAGTTTGTATTATTATAATAATCCAATTTTTTTTATAAAGTATACTACAAAAGTTTAATATTTTATAATTTCTATTTATATGTATTGTTTCATGATTCATTTTTACATATTGCACTTAGTACTACAGATACTTTGTGACTCCAATCATAATAATCTTAGTATGATCGAATTTCTTATTAACCTAAATATAATTTTTATGTATTCAAAAAATTCACACAAAAATAAATAAAAAAGAAAATCAGTCAGATATATATTAGTGACAAAATCAGTGATTATTGTACAAAAAACAATTTTGTATACAGTGTAAAAAATGATTAAAATCAGGTTGCTCCCTTAAAGCTGATATAGATTTATTCTACTTTACTACCAAAGTATTGATATTTTTATAAAAACCGAATTATATGATTCTATCAGTTAAATGTATAAATTAGACAATTTGTAAAAATGGGAATGATTATTATTTGTTTATTAAATATTAACTTTAAGGTATCGTTCAATTATAAAAATAATTAAACCATTAGTTTTGTAAACGAAATTTAAAATATTATATTATATTATATAAATATTATAAATAAATAGAATAGAAATAGAACAGAATAGAATAGAAATATATATAAATAGAAATATAAATATTATATTTCAAATTTTTATACTAAATATATTATTCCAACAACACTTTAGTTTTGAGTACAGCCATATTTTTTTAATAAAGTAATAAAATTTTCAATAATTTTGTAGATAGAAATTTTTAGTCGAAGTTCATTAATATATACATCTTAAGAACAAAATTATTTAAGTTAATTAATTTACGATTTATATAGAAAAAATATAATAGATAGATATATCTACCAAATAAAATATAGTTAGCCAATACCCAAGTTTAATAGGTTTTGATTTCAGTATTATTAATAAAGTTATCGAACTATTTATCAAATATTTTTAATTTAATTTAATTTATTATTTATAATTAAAAAATATTATTATGATTGTTATTATTTTTAATAAACAAATATAGTTGAATTACATCAAAGACAAATTATATAATTATCTCAATAGTCTTTAAAGCATTCACAAATAACCGTTTTATCTTTAATATCGTTTATTTTCATGAAAATATGCCAACCAGTAAAAATGCAATTCTCTAATCAGAAATATATTTTATATGCATAGTGCGAAATTCTGCATTATTAGCAAGAGAAAGATACTCATGCTTTATTGCAGTCATGTTCTTTTTTCAGACTGATCCATGCATGCACGTGTGCGTTACTATACATAGCTAACATTATTATAGCCCTAATAACGCATTTGAAAAATTGAGTTTAAAATATTATTCTCCTTAGTATTAATGTATGAGAATCTGTATCACATAATCAGTTCAGTAATGATTTTCAATTATCATTTTAACGATATCACAACAGCATAGTGTACATGCATAAGCGCTTGCTTACAATATGGTACTCTCTAAGATAATCAATATTTTTAATAGGACTTTCACTTAGAATTTAAAACTGGATTTTTTTTACTTCTTTATTTTCTTTTCTGCTACATAACTATGGTATCATAAATACATTAATAGAGTTGGTAGAAAAGGTAAAATTTTCAAAATAAAATAAATAATTTCCTCTTGTTTACGTAATATATACATAAATTAAAAATCAGTGATTAAACTTTACGTTATTTTCATGCTTAGTAAAATTTATTTAAACATATAAATATAACATTTGATAAGTTATAAAAGAATTAAAGGAGTAGGAAAATAATCGTAAGACATTTTAAATGAAATTTATTTTTAAAAATCGAAACATATTAGAGAAAAATGTAAAACTAAATCAATTAACACTATTGTGCTATTTCAGTCTAACATAATTCAATTTTAGTTCCTTCAGTTTCAGATAAGCAATTGAAACCCATTCTGAATATATTATTTTATAGAATATATTAAGTAAGTAATTAATGTTTTCTTTTTATTTTATTAATTTACTCTTTTTTATTTTACATGTACAGTTTATTCTATTTAATTTTTCTCTTCTACTAGACATTTGTCTATATATATATCTTTGAAAAATTATACAAATTATTTATTGCAAATTACAAATTATCAAAGGTACATAAATATTGATTCAGATATTATTCTACTTATAATAAAAATAAATATATATAGTTAACATAATAAATGTAATACACGCTTAAGTGTAATATTAACGAATTATTTGCAGTTAGCTTCTATTTAATTTACTTTAAATCGGTATAGGTTATTCATTGATTTATTGTAGAGACTTACATTACTTACATTACTTACAAAACTTTCATTACTTGTATATTTATAATAAGTAAAGATATTTCTTATTTTATTTACGAAAATAATAAATAACGTCTTTTAAAAGTAAAAATATTTTATCGAATTAAACAATATCTAAATGACATACCTAAATACAATTACTCATCTTTTAATAATATGTAATTAATTAATATAATTGTAGAATTATTAAAATTTGAAAAATTAAAGATTTTAAAACATTAAATATAGTCTTCTTCTTAAATATATAAAATTTTACAGAAACTCTTATTTAATTGAACTTCAATGTAATAAAATAGTACTTAAAATTCGGTAACAATTGATTTAACTATTATATTTTCTGATTAATGTAACTGCTTAAGTAATTTTAAATGAATGATACATAGAATAAAAATTTTTGTCAAGTACAGATACCTTATAGTTATCACGTTATAAGTAATTTGAACTAATTTCAACTAATTTCAACTATGTAAAACATATTATGTTTAAAACTGAAGTTACCCATTATATATTATATAATAAACTAATTTCCAATTATTATTAACTAGACTGGTTACTTTTATATTTTATATTCGGGTTTTCACAACTTTTGTTTTATCTACACTGTGTATAATTACATAAATATTTTTCGACTTTAGTATAAAAAAATGTTGACTAAATATAATTCTTATATTTTAAAAATAATTTTAGATTTTAATAAAGAAAATATTTTATTATTGCATATACATTTGTTCGTGTGTATGCGCGTATGTGGTGGGTAATTTTTTAATGCGCAAACGTGCATCAAATTTGTGTATGTGTGTATTTGTATTTTGTTATGCAAGTATATATTTGATAACGATAATAGTGAGGTCTTGTTTAAGAAAAGTATAAAAATTAATATTCGATTATGAAATAGACAGATATATGCATAATTTTGTTATGATTTTAATAAATGTGTTAGGGTAAATGAATCAAATAGTAAATTTTATGAAATACAAGCGCAATATTTATAAAGAAATTAGTTATAATTATTCATTTTAAGCAATTTTTTGTCTGAATTATTTCAACAGTAAATTTGATTTTGATTTGATTTTTTATTAATTTATTATGTAGTAAAAATTCACGGTAAAGTGTTTTATTTGAATTTAATTATTTACTAACTGAGTCAAAAGTTTTATAAAAATTTGATACTAGTAAAATTGGAGGTTGATAATTTGTTTTTCTAAGAACATCAGATTTTATAGTAAAGCTAAAAATTTTGTTTTTTCAAAACACGTTTTACAAAACATATATTTTATAAATAATATTTTTATGATTATAAATTCTGTGAACAATAAACAAAACAAGTTTCTATTTAACGAAAGTGTGCAAATGATAGAAATAATATAAAAAATGATCATTTTCAAAGTATCAAAGTTTTTAAATCTCTCTAATGAATTTTTTGCAATTTTTATTTTTTATAATTTCAAAAAATTGACTACATATACAAAGCACGTATTTGGTTGATGTGCAGCTGACAGAGAACATCGAATATATTTTGATATTTAAAGACGTAATACAAGCAAAAGTACAATTTATTCATCGTTTATTCGCAAGTAGATTAGGAGAGCAGCAAATGAGGTGAAACAAGTCACTTTGAGCGATAATCATTAAACGATACATTCTTCCGTTCTCTTTTATCTTTCTTACTCTCCCTTTCTCTTTTCTTCTTTCCCCTACATTTACTTCCTTACTGGGAGGAGAAGTAGAACAAGATCAATGCTGTATATGTGTATATATATATTTCTCACATAATGCAAGCATTAATTCATCTATAGTTGATTGAATTAAGATTTAAACTTGCGGTCTAAATTTTTATTCCATTTAGGGATTAATTATTATAACATTTCACGAACACTTTAGTACTTATTATTTTGAACGGTATGTGAATGTGATGTATCTTAACAAAATTTATTTTACGTCTTTTACACAGATTTTTTTAATGTTAAAGTTAAATGGACCATTTCATGTATTATGATCTTATCGACTTCTAATCTATAGTTTTCTTGAAATTGCTTTGAATCATGAATGTATCATTGGCAGTAATACATTCATGATTCGAAGCAATATTAAGAATTCATATGACTCTTTTAAAGTAAACTATAACATAATAAATTGATGGTAATTGTAGTAAATTACCATAGTCCGAAGTAAAAAAGAAAATCACTAGTAATAAGTACTAAAAATTGAAAATACGAAAAATTTGGGAGGCAGGTAGTATTTTCGTGTCAGTTGCCCAGCCAGTAACCAAACCACTAGTAGTCGAAATCGAAATTGCGTCAGCCACACTCAACCTTGTCTGACAACGGGATCTGTACAAGTACGCTTAGTTATTAAAGTGTTTTGCTAAAGCGTTGCCATAGCATCGGCTGACCTGGTCAATTCGTATCTACGTGACTTAAATACGACTGAACCGCAAAAGAATTTTTTAATAACTTTTATAAGAGTAAGTTTGGTTGAAAGCTTCGATGCGTGGCACTTACTTTTTCTTCAACACCCTATAAAACTATTTATTTATGGAACACTTTAATTGATTACAAATAGAAATGACTTAAATACTAATCTATAAAAATACATTAAGATAGAACAGAGTTGAAGTACCATAATTTTAACCGTTTATATTTATTCGTGATTTTTCGTTCAGTATTTATTCATGAGGTAGGTTTATATTTGTGATAAATATAATATATTATTTGAAATCTATAATATTTGTAATTTCATTTACCTGATAGATGCATTTAGATATATTGAGGTTCGTTACATTCTTTTGTTTTATTACTAATTCATTAATTTATTAATCTCTAATTAATAAGAGATGCTGTTAAAAACCGTTAAATATAGCTTTAAATGATCTTTCTCATATATTTTATTATTTAATTCATTGTAGTTTATTTTAAATATTATAAAATCAACATTTTTATTCTACTCAAAAAACCAAGCTATACATTTTAAATATAATGTTCTGTTAGATAAATTTTTTTAATTATTTCAAAGTATATTTATTATTAGTGTTATGCGAATAATTGTAGTGTTTGTTACAATAATTTATTTTAAAATACCTTTTTTATTTTTAAATTTTTGAATAATACATCAAAGAAACTTAATGTTAAATTGCATATACAATTATATTATTAACATAATTTATAAAGAAGTTATGTAATAAAATTCATTTAATCTGTAAAAAGTATAAATAATGAATAAAATAATCATTACATTTAATTTAGTCTTTTAGATATACTGATAAAAAATGGATAATAGTAGGGTATTTATTTTAAAATAATTTTTAAATCTTAAAACGACAATATCTCAGTCTAAAACTGTTATTATATAAAAAATACTGTAATTAAATGTTAAGAACAATAAATCAGTCATGAAATACCACTGAATTTCGAAACTCAAATTTCAAGCTTTATCATTTTAAATTTGGTTTTTAAAAAATGGTTTCTGTTATACGGCTAGAGTGATCACTGAGTGCAAAATGTTGTGTGTATAGCTCCGTCCGCGGTCACCCCCGCCCTTCGAAATTTAGTCAAATCGCATTCCAGATCTCTTTCACACGCATGCACGCATATACCGGAAACAAAAGAAATGAGAAGTACATGTTAACGTAGGCCAGAAGTAATCTACAGCTGAATTACAGAGTGACCACGAATCGTAATATAGCGGCCAAGAATCCAGAACGAATTGACGAGAGGATGTTACGTGACATGACGGCACGGATGTGGTGCCAGACCCTCAATTTCTTATTTGCGGTACGCTTGTCATTCTGTATCTCCTTATTTTCTTATTTATTTTTATCGGCACGTAATTTTTTTTATAATCCGAAAGAACTTTGAGGATTCGTACCATCAGAGTTAGGGTTAATTGGCTGCCAACTTTACGTAACCTCTTAGTTGGTCATCTTTTATCCATGGTATTTTCTTATTTATTACTTACATTTGTTATTATTTGATTAGCTGTTTTTATACTTTTCTGAATTTTTTGAGAAATTTTATTTTTATGTTTACTTTATTTAAAAGAAAAACATTTTAATTAGCTTTGAAAAAATATTACATATTACAGAAACTTTTTATAAGCATTGTAATTTAATAATATTTGTTGGTTATTAAAAAAACAGTGAAATTATATTATTATTAGATGATTAATTAAACTATCTATACTATGTATATGCTATTATAAAAAAAATATGGATTTTTCATTAAATTTCAAATATTCTAATATACAAAATATCTATGTTGCTGCATAATATATTTTATTTTGCAATTGAAGTAATTTACTTAATTCCTTAATTATAGTAGTTACTTAAAATATCTAATAATATTAATAATAATGAATTTAAATTTTTAGACGTTTAATAAGTCATATATGTATGTTTCTATTTGTTTTAAAAGGTCTACAGAAAAAAATAAATAAAAAGGTTCCCAATGTATAACATTTACGGTATATTTAAATAATAAACTTTAAATTTTTTAGCTTTATTGTAATAATTTTTATATAAACATAAGTGCCATTCATATATAAGAATTATAATTTTTGAAAAATGTTTTAGGCATATCGAGCTTATGCATACCCACAATCGTAGGTAATCGAGTTTATTCATACCCACAGTCATAGGTAATTGAATTTATCAATACCTACTATCATAGATAATCGAGTTTATTCATATCAACAATCAAATTATTGTATAATTTTTAAATAATATAATTATATATGTTACAAAAATAGTATAACTATTAAAAAAATCTACTGTAGGTAAATCATATAATATAATATATTCTAATTGAGGAAAAAGCTTATATTTTTTATTATAAAACTAAAGTAATAAAGTAATAGAAATATTAATGGAAGATCAATATAAATATAATAAATTTATCCTGATTGAACGCGGTACACAATTTTTTTAATGCTGCTTTATCTACTCATGAGTTTAAAATTTAAGTAAGTATCCTTTTTATGAATAAATAGTCATCAAAATAATATTAATTGTCTTATAAAAGAATAATATTGTTTAAGATACTTTAATGGAATTAATGATTTAACTCGTAGTTAAATTTCATCTGCTTCCGATGGTATTTATAAAGTTTATGTTCAATGCACTTGAAAGAGTAGCATTGTTGTAATATTATTCTGACTTCAGTTTTGTTCATAACGGTGAATATATTTAATAAATTAAAATGAAATTATTCAGAGATGTCCAGTGAAGCTAAGTTTGTAGCAATCCCGAGCTTGCACGAAGCTCGGGAATGGACACGAAGGTCCCACCGATTGCCTCGAGAACGCATGATAGGTGTCAAGAGCAATATTATCAACAACAACAGCAACAACAACAACAACTACATAAAAAATCACTACTGTTACAACAAGAACAGGAAAAACAGGTGACGCTACCGCCGCTTCCGGCATTCTCAGCTCAACGACATAGAGCCATTAAGTTCAGCCTATCTTCTAATTGGAGGAACGGAGTAACAACGCCGAAAGTACATAATCAGCAAGATATTCAAAGATGTCAACCATATAAGTGAGCTTTAATATTTCTGAAATATTATAAGCCAGAATATTCTGTTTCGTCATTGTTTTAATATCTAAATCTTTATATCAATCATTACGTATAATCATTTAAGACATATGAAAAATCATTAATTTATGGTAAATAAAATTTACTGATATAATTTTCTAAGGACGTTTTAATTCAATTATATTTATTTTTTAGAACAATGTTTTTATGTAAATAGGGTTCTTAATACAGGATTTTAACCAGATTCTTGAAAAAATTTAAAATAATATTTAACTTTTAAATTTGTTCAAAATTAAAATTTTGTATATAAATAATTTTTAATGAAATTGAAAAGTATGTGTAAAATGTAAAGTTAGTTAAAATTAAAAAAAATTATTTGCATTATTAAAAATTTAATGAGTCTCATTATCATAGGTTTATCTAAAGTTGTAATTCATGAAATTTTTTGATTAAAAAAGATTTAGTTTAGATCATTTTTCATTATTTATTTAATATATACTTATACAAAACGGATACCAACATTTTTTCGATAATTTGAAAGCTTCATTAAGCAGATAATTAAATAGACAGAGTTAATATTTCACGTTATTATTTTTTGTTGTAGAGTTCTGGAGATCGGGGCAACTCCCTTGATGCATGCTTGTCAACAAGCGGACCGAGTTCGCGTTCTGAGGCTACTAAAGGAACAGGAAGAGACGATCGGTTACAGGGACCGAGCACTTCGCAGTGCCATACATTATTGTATGGACGCAAGCACTGGAGGAGCGGTCGCACAAGCGGCTCCGGAGCTCCTCAATGATCCAGATGCCGAAGGCCACACGGCCCTCCATCTGGCAGTTATTGCTGGGGACGCACAGTTGGTCGCGGTTCTACTTGCCAGTGGAGCCGACGTCAATGCCAAGGATCTTGAAGGCCATAGTGTCCTCCACTGGGCTACCGGTTAGTATGTCATATATTACATAATTCACCCTTTTTCTTTTCCTATCACACAATACTCCACTGTTTCCAAATTTTATATTCCCAACTACTACAGAACTCATACGATATTTTTTGCGTTTACAATTTATTATTTGTATCGGTTTATTTTACTTTAATCTAAGATAAATCTGGTTGGAGTTTGTCTGATTAAATGATCCATTCATTTAGTAGAAAAAATCTTCTATTATTACAATTATAATTATTATTGTTATTATAATGCTTATAATTTGTGACATGATAACATTATTATTTCATTATAATTATATGATTTCCCACCACATCTAAGTTTATCAAGTAATATATACTAAGCACCGAAAATACAAAAATTCAATCAACAACACTTCTTAATCAACACTTCTAATTTAATTTTTTTTATTGATGGAGTTCAGTCTTAAACGATAGATTCAAATAAAAGATCTTTATTTATCATTTTATATTTAAAAATAGGATAGTTTTCTTATAGAAGTAAATTCAAGAATTCTTTTTCTAAATTAAGATATTGTAACCATAAAATACTAATATAAGCTTCCGAATTAAAATATTTGCCTAAAAGAAAAGATGTACATTTAGAAAAATGACAGCAATAAACCACTTATAGTAATTCATCTATTGTAAGTGATTACATAAGTAATATAATATTAATATATAATATAAGTTGTTTCTATTCGGGTGGAAAAATAAAATATTTTATATAAAATAAAAATAGTGCTTATAATAAAATAGATATTAATATACTTCGAGTTATGATTTTATTTCATGTTTTATATTACTAATTATTGCATTTAAATTTTAAAAAACTATTTTTTCTTTGTACCAACATGTATTGATAGATATCTATATGTAATCATTTTTATTTTACATTTTGAGAAAAAATAAATTTTTTTTAAAATATCATCCCAAATGTATATTAATTTATTCGAGGATTAGATTTTTAATAATAAATATTTTTTGTTGATATGTATTTAATAGCGATTAAAATAAATAATTTAGAATATTTTAAAAAATAAAGAAAAGTAGACATATATAGATTAATATGAATTTTGTAATATAACTTGTATTTGTTTTTTTTCTTATAAAACTTTAAATATGTAAGAACTGAAGATTAATCCTTGTTTAAATATTATATATTATGTAGTATAATTTTTAATGAAGAAGCTGATAAAGTTGTAGATATTTAAATTTTTTTTTATATAGTTATAAGATCACGAAAAAATTCAATAAAATAGATAATTGAGTCTTTTAATATTAAACGACAAATAATAACACATTAAAACAATTATATAAAATTCATATAAAAAATATAGGTCAATTACTAGAATTACTGCATTGTCTAAATAATATATATAATAATAATTAATAATATATATATATATATATATATATATATATATATATATATATATATATATATCTTCGGAGAAATAAAAATATGCCGAATGGCCTGTTAACGCTACCTATACGATACGGAGATGAAGATATAGAAAAAAAGAGAAGAGAGAAATAAAAATGGTGAGCGTGTGAAACATAACAATGTTAAAAGCAGTAATATTGAACTAGTACTTAGTCGACAGTATCATAGGGCCACAATCTCTTGCGTATTTGGTACATCAGTATGAGAAATGAGTAGTACAAGAGGGGGAAAGGTCAGCTCCGACAAGGTAAGTAATAAGTCGCTTGCCTGTTGTGATGTCATCAACTCCACACTAGCTCGCGATAGAGCTAGCTAAACAACTTAGGAAAAATTTTATGTACGTGGGTTAGTAGGTCAAATAAACGTGAATAGCCAATATGACGTAATTCCAGTCGGCTAACCAAATACTCACGCAATCAACCAGTATCCAAGGAAAAGGGAAAGCCCACGAAGTCAGATAGTGTTAATTATTTTCATTATTGAAATACAGGTTGGAATTTATTTTTTTATATGACTGTAGATATGTATAATGACGTGTTTTGATGTATCAAATATAATTATCAATAGAAATTTGCATATAATCGATTATAAAATTATATTTTATTATTTTATAAACCAATAATTCTATTTTATGAAACTAATACCATACATAATTAATTTTTTATATTATTAGTTCTTATTTTATGAAATGTCGAAATATTATTTGTGTTTCTCCATCACATTTTGAATTTTCAATTATTTATAAAAAAAAAGTTTCTTTTTATTTTGTAGATTTTAACTATAAATGTACAACTTATAGTTAATTTAAATCTGTGTAAATGAAATAAAATGGGTAATTAATAAAAATGAAAATTGTTTTAAGTAAGCAACAGTAAGTTTATTTTTTTATAAAGACTATTTTTATTTTAAAAAGACTATTCTTAGCAATATTTAATATTATTATAAGAACCTTTCAATAAATTAAGATTATTTTATTCAAATAACATATTGTAAATTGCAAGAAATTTACAAAGATTAATTCCGTCAAAACATTAAACGAATATTTATGAAAATATAATATAAATATTATTGTACTCTAATTGTAAAAATTTTATGTTTTCAAATAATTCTCCTTACTTAAATCTAAATAAGCAAATAGTTTAAAAAATATTTATTGAAATAGCAATTAATCTAAAGCATATTGAAAATCGCTTATTTAATCTTGCATTATCGTTAAGTATAGTATTATTATTATATCACGTTTTACAAGATGCGATACTCATTGCTCATGAGATCAAGCACACGAAATAAGAAATGGGTTTATTGTCATTTTAATATAAACAGCTCAACTTTGGTATTTGATATCAAACATTACTGTAGTTTTTAATTTAATAAGTTTATAATGATATCAAAAAAACAGTTTGGTACATATTTTGTAAAATAAATAAAATTTAAATAAAATTATAAATAAAATTTGTGTTCTACATTGTTCGATTTTAAAGGCTTAGTTTATGGCTGGAACTACCAATTCAATAGTTCAGTGGATTAGTCTCTCGGCAGGATAACTTTAAAGGAAATAATCATTGACAAGGCTGAAAAATATCATGTATTTAGTGAAACAATGTTTATTATTTGTAAATAATTATAATAATATTGCAATGATGGGTAGAGAGAAGATTATTCTATTGAAATAATGAGGGTGTGTCCTTGTAGTCTTGATTGTCGTAGACTCTATTGACGTTACAGTGTATCTTGTAATTGAGGTTATACTGATGTTGTAAATATCAGCCGGTGTAGTCAATCATGCTCATGAGGTAGCATGAGAAGATGGTGTTTGAATCAAGTATGCTTGATAGATGGAATAACTATACTTGGTAGAGTGTAAGAAGTTTTGATGGAAATTGGTGCATAATCAATTATGTTTTTAGTTATAATGGGAACAGTAGAAAGGACTTGTCACAAGCAAGAGTCATAAATGACAAGCCTTCGAGCTCTTGAAGGACTGAATAATCTGTATTTATAGTCGATTAGTCGATCTATTGTTGTCCTTCCTTGACAACGTGCTTAACACATAGCGACACTTGTGTCAGTTGTTGAGGGCCTGTACGATGTCGAAGTGTTAGTTCGAGAGAGCGTATGTTTTCCCGATCGACTCTTATGGGCCTGTACGTGGTCGAAGCATTGGTTCGTCTAAGATAATGTGAAATTGCCCGATTAATTTTTGTGCGAGGTGACTAGCTTATTTATTAATATAAAGATGTACCTTGTAAATTGCTGACAAGGAGTGTTGATTTACTGCGAGGCTGATGTCCCCTTTGATTACTATTCCTTTGGTTTCACTGTAATCACTTCTAAATCTGCCGATTTCCCTTTATTAATGCACACGTGTATTATTAACTTAAATACTGAATATATGGCCACGTGTCGTCTTCACAGTATACTGAAACACTGAGCGGCGATTACACTTAAGTGAGCGCGAAGTGATATTACAATGAGCCTTTTGAATACGCGCACGAAAACCGAAGGCTTGATCGTTCCGTGGCAGCTCTGCTGAAAATACCGACTGTTCCATGGCGGTCCTTCTGAGGGCAGATCGAGACCCGTGTGCCTGGCTTCTACTGGTAGATAAGTAAATCGGTTCACTATGGTCGGTCACTGCAGTCGGGTCACGGCAAGCGCAGTTGAGCGAGGGTGTTTCGGCAAGAGAGCCGGTCAGTAAGAGAGGCTGCCAGCAAGATTTTCAGCGAGAGGGCGAGGCGCGCCGCGTGCGTCCCTTATATATCCACGCAGCGGCTCACTTAGCTGGCAACAAAGCATCGTCGTTGTTGCACTGAATTCTTACACGAGGCATAGAAAAAAAAATCTAGAACCTTCGAGAATTCGACGAAAGAAAAGTAGGGCGTAATACCTTTGTGTGATCTTATAGTATATTAGTTTTCATGTCGTGAAACTTGCTCGGACTTGCCGAGTTTTGTTTATAAATATTCGCCCGAATGCGCGTCCCGTGGAAACTGCGTCAATCTCGAACATACATTAAATTTAAATAACTATACAAGTATCTATAATACATCATCTTTGATTGATTTACTAATTCCTTACTGTTCTTTTTTATAATTCAGACTTCATAGGTAGTCTTAACTGTAAAAACTACCTTATTATACGATCGCATTTTAAAACTAAATTTTATTATAAATAAATTTATATAAATATATTCTAAATTTTTTATTCGAATTAAGGTACATTTATTTATTTTTAGTTATTCTAATGTTATTTTATTTTAATATACTTTCTATGTATATATCAATATATGGTATTTCAATATTTCTATACACGGTGTCGTATCTAATATTTTTATATTAAAAGTAATAGTCTGTAGTATAAAAAATTTTTAAGTTTTACATTTTTCAACCAATAAATTGTGTACATTTTGCAGATCTGTAAAATAAAATATGCCATAGACCTATTTAAAAATTACAAACATTTCATAAGTGGATGATCTACAATAGGTTATTAGGACTAGAAGAATTAAAAGTATAGGTAGGTGTTATCGTGATTTCAAGAAGAAGGCACACCGCGGCAGTATGTTACCGCTCTAGAAGCGGATAATGATTTAATGTAAACATTTATAGATTGTAGATTGAATGTATTAAACACACGCTTAGATAGGCTAAGTGCCTCATTATTCAAGTTAGTTAAAGTACACATTTAGTAATACATTTGCAATTTCAGTGTGCGGCGAGGTTGAGTGTGTGCGACTGGTGTTGGCTGCGGGCGCTCGAGCTTCAAGCGCAGACCTCCGAGGCGGCTCACCTCTTCACTACGCAGCTCAATGTTGTGGAGCGGCTGCTACCGCAGAGCTCGCCATACCCAAAAAGCTCGGACTCAAGGTTCTCCACACTCTCTTGGAGTTTGGCGCAGACGTCCATGCGTGTGACGAAGATGGACGACAACCGATTCTTTGGGCGGCCAGTGCCGGCAGCGTCGAAGCAGTACTTGCACTAGTCAGGTGCGTAGTTTCTGCTTCTACATATTTTCTACACACTATGCACTTCCATAAAGTACACTCCATAAAGTACATAATTAATATATTTAAATCACATAAGAAAAGACGTTTCGTACAAGACGATTTAGTACCTATTACAAACGGTACATTAATCAATACATATTTTATTAATATTAAATATCAGTTAAATAAAAATCTAGTAAAAACAGACTTTATCACAAGATCATATAATTTTTTTGTAATTTTATACTTCTTTTGAACATAAAATACCTTAACTTAAAATAATTATATTTTAAATATCTATTTGATATATTATATATCAATATTAGAATTCTTTTGATATTATTACGATTTGATGAGAAAATAGTTTATTATATATTATTTTATTTTTAGTTTATTATATATTATAATTCTTTCCATTAAAATGTTTCTGTTATAAACCTTCTATACAAAAATTTATGTTATTTTCGTGAGTATCCAAGAAGTTAAAAAATAGAAATTTCGGGTGACCGTTACACTTCAATTTTTTATGTGATGTTTTGTAGAAATGTTTTACTAATAATTATAACTGCTTTTCTGTGTTATTATACAATTATTTATAATACAAACAGAATCCTAATTGGATACGAAAGTTTTCAATAATACAAGTTACAACTGAGGATAAAAATAGCTAATAATTAATAAGAAAAGTTTAGATGTAAGACTGTCACTTAAATAAAATACTGGTATTTTTGGTTCGCAATTAACTGCACAATCGAAAATATATATTATTTAGATGTGTTAACTTTTACGCGCAGCCAAGCCCAATTTTTTCTTTCCTTTAAACTAATATTTAAACTAATGGCGAGAATTCTTGTTCAGAGCCGGTGGTTCGACTGTCGCCACCGCATCCGATAAGGATGGTTTAACGGCTCTCCATTGCGCAGCGTCGCGTGGTCACGCAAGATGCATTGAGGTGCTGGTAAATCTTTGCGATGCCCAGTCGGATCACGTCGATAATAATGGCTGCTCCGCCTTACACTATGCTGCAACGCTTGGGCATGCGGATGCTACTTCTCTATTGCTCAAGCTTGGAGCTGATCCCAATCGGCAGGATCGGAAAGGCAGGACGTAAGTAACCATTGGACCCATATTAACATAATTTTTATATCAACAATTCTTTATTCTATTACTTTCATTATATTTCCATGCTGGATCTCGTTTTCTACTATTTATAAGATTTGCTACTTGATTTCGTATTTAATATACTTATTTACATATAAGTTTGATATTAACCCAAATAAAATAAACAGAATGAAATTATTTTCTTAATGGTATGAAAAATACTTATGAAAAATAAAAATACTTTGATCTTGATTTATATATTTTTATGTTCCATATGCTAGATATTCAATGTCGTATATATTTAGTTTCTATAAAAGTATTTACGAATCCTATTGTATTTATATAAAAAAATTTGCTATTGATGGTATAAATATAACGTTTGAAATTCAATTACAAAAAACAAATTGAAACAATTGTTATAATTTAAAAAAATTAACTCTGGGAATTTCAAAGTCCTCCATTGATAAAATTATCGACGTTAAAAATAGGAAGTAGAACGATTGGAAGACGAGAATAAAGTAATATTTTAAAGCTAGTGAGAATTGGGAAATTACAGTCCGGCGCTTTGCGCTGCAGCTAAGGGGCAACTGGAAAGTTTGAAGATTCTGGCGCAACAAGGCGCATCACTGCATGCACGCACGGTTCGTGGTACAGGACTTGGCCATGAGGCTGTAGCTTCTGGACGACTTGAACTTCTCAAGTGGTTGTCGAAACGCCGGCCAAGCCTCATACACGTTGCCACACAGGACGGAAAAACACCTCTCCACGTTGCAGCGCTGTATGGCTATCTAGATGCTTGTAAACTTCTGATCGATAGTGGTGCCAGAATCAACGCCCTTATGAGAACTAGCAAAGGTATCCTTATGACTGTACTTGATGCTGCTTTGTATAGGGCCCATAGGGACTGTGCCAAGTTCATACAGCTTCATGGTGGAATGACTGCACAGCATTTGAAGTTACACAAAGGTAATCACATTGAAGGTCGAGTGAATAATGGATTAAAAATCAATCAATTATAAATATTAGATAATTGGAATATTATTAATGGTGATGAAAATTAGTAGATCCGTCAAAATTGCATGCGAAGCATGTAGAAACCAGTTCAGATTCAGAGTTTAATGATATACGATCATGTCACCGTCACCGCCAGTATCATCACCGTGATCCTGAGGTCTACTACGAGGAACGATGGGTTGAACGTCGAATTCGTCGACGTGCCAACCGACGACGACAATTTCGTCAGAATAGCCGAAGTTTTAGCGAAGAACAACCGCACCGTTCGAAATCATCCTCGACAGCAAGGGCAACTAACAGACAGAGGCGAGCACTTAGCGAAAACGCCCGATACGAAAGCAGTGATTCTGATTTAAAAAAAAAAAATAATAATTCAGAAAGAAGAGGTATATTACGTTTCTTATAAAAGATTCAAAATTTTTTATTTATTGTTTTTGTGTAAAATATTTTTTAATTCATTTTTTATGGATAGTAGTAGTTTAGTAGCTTATAATAATTTAACATAAAATATTGATGTATAATAAAGTATGCGAGAGAATTGTATATAGACAATTATTTCAACTAATAAACAAAAAAAACAATGCTTTCAAGAATATATTCGGAATATTTAGACAAAATTTTTTGAAAATAATAAAAAGAATAACGTTTTATTTAATACATACTATAGGTTCCTATTTAAGTATAAGTACTCAATTATTACCTATTGAAAATTTTTTTTATTGGTTTGTAATTTTAGTATACAATTAATTATTTATGATTCTTATCTCTTTTTGGAAATTTACTTATTATGTAGAAATTCAATATATTGAAATTTTCAATCTTTATAAATAAATTATAATTTATCTACTTATTATTTAGTTAACAATTATCTAATAACATTTTATGTTTGCTTATGTGTAAATTGATTTTATAATTTAAAAGTATATCTATTATAAACATCTATCGATTTTAAATACGTTATTAACTGTTTCGATAATAAATGCAATAATGATTTTTATTGATTCAAATAAGATTTCTTGAATAATAATTTTTAATTATATGCATTTTAATTATAATATCTATTTAAATTTTTATGCGAATAGATTATTAAGAAATTATCTCATTTTTTTCATAAATAAAACGTTTTAAACTCATTTTTTATTTAAATAAAATAGTATAATATTGAAAATAAAAAAAAATTTATATTTTTTTGTATATATATTCAGATTAAGTTTAAACACGTATTATAAAATGTAAGCTAGAATTAAACAAAAATATTTTAAGGTAGAAGAAAAAAAAATGAAATACATGCAAGGAGGAAAAATAATCAAGCAAATAAATCTGGAAGCGAATCTATTGAGAGTGAAGATCCATCAAGATCATTCAAAAGTGGCGAGGAAAGTTCGAGTGTCAGTGACGATAGTCTTGAAGTAATTCTAGTTAAAAAGTTATTAGAATCGAAATCTGAAAAAATTATTTCCGGTAAAAAATTCAAAACGATTTGTGAAAAATCAAAGAATATAAAAGACTACTCGAAATCAAATAAATCTAATAAAAAAAAAGTAATAATAAATGAGTACGATAAATTGAAGGTCGGTAAAGTTTTAAAAAAGGAAATACTAAAACGAAATATTTTGAATCACGAACAAGCATTCATCAATACGGACGGTGACACCTCAAACAAAGATACAGTAGAACAAATAACTATATCTGCAGATATCCATTTGAATAAGGGTTTAAATATGTCTACAGAAAAAAATTTAGAAGTAGTAAAGAGAATGAATATTGAACAGGAACCTGATCAGCATGCAAAAAATAAAATGGATAATATTCTGGGAAAGGCGGATGAAATACAGAACGCTCTATTGGCGAAAGCGGCCGACCTTAAAAAAGATATGGAAGAAATGCGTTATTGTATATCTCACAGTTCAGAGGGAATTGAATATAATAAAAATATTGATAAAGAAAAAAATAATGAAAAATACAAAGACATTGAAAATGAAAACGAACCAGTATCAAAAGATTTTCCTTTTATAAAGAAAGATAGTTATACGATTGAAAAATATGATGGGCAAAATAAAAAAGTACATGATAAACAATTAGTGGGTTTAGAAGATGATGAAAATTTAGAATTTTTCGAAAAGAATAAAAAAAGCTGTCCAATTTTAGAGACACTAGATCAAACTAAAATAAAAGTACAAAACACGCATGAAGAAGTAAATGATAATAATCTAGAAAAGGATTTAAAAGAAATTTCACAGCATGTTAAGAAAGAATCTACAACTCAAGAAGTATTGGAATTAAAAAGAAAATCATCTGTAAAAGAAATTGATTTGAAGGAAATAAAACAAAATGTTGAACTTATCGATGCATTATCGTTGTCCCAAGAAGATAAAAAAGAAATAGTACAAACACTAGAAGAAATGTCTATAAATCAGATAGAATCAACAATTCCAGGTTAGATAAGATAAATTGAAAGTTAGTATAAAATATAATAAAGTAAATCTATCTTACTAAATCTAAAGTATAATAAAGTAAATCTATGCATTACTATAAGAAAAACCTTGTGTTCATGACAATTACTGTTATTTTAACTCTATAAATCATAAAATTAAGTTTTATTATATGACTATGTATAATGAATGTAATTTAAAAAGAGAACACATAACTTTTGATACAGATTGTACTTTTAAGTATACTTTTAGTGATATATATTGTGATATCACAAGTTATTTATATTTTAATATTATAACAATCAAGTACTTGTTTTATATCTAACTATTTTAAAGTAACTTAATAGTATGGATTAATATCTGCAAGGTAAAAAGAAATTATAAGTTTAACAATATAGCTTATTAATAATTTTTAGAAGCTGATAAATCACTGTTTTCTACAATGCATGTGGAGTAAAATATTTGTTTTGCAGACGGGACTTCTTCCAGCTCACCAACCTCAGAAAAGAATCAGATTTCACGATATTTATTAAGGCCTTCGACTGAGAAGCGGCGAACTAAAGTAGTATCGAATGCAAAGCTTGAAGTATTAGAAAGTTCAGAGGAGTGCTCTCCAGATCGTAGTGCAATCATTGCTGTAATCGAAAGTCCCGAATGGGATGAGGAACATGATGAAGAACTTGATAAGAAAATTAGGAAAGTTATCGGTAATATGAAAGAGCATTACGAGGATGAAATAGAGGATAATGATAGCCGAAGTGGTGATAAAGAATTAGGTATTGTTAGGGTGTTGTCAAGTGTAAGCGAAAAGGAAATGAACAATCGCGCTTCCATTGCTGATTCACTCCCACAGGTTGCATTCTTTTATAAAAAGTTACTCATTTTAAATACTTTTAATTCTTGATATTATCCATGAATGTATTTCAATATAATGTTTTAAAAGTCTATCATTATTATTAAACAGACTTATAGAACTTACTTAAACAATTATATTTTATTTTTGATTTTCTTTATACTTTTAATATTTGATGCATGATTATGAATTGTCTGCACACGTATATATTCAACTATTTCAAGCTTAAATTTAAAATAATATATAATAATATTTCATTTCTACTGCGTTTTTAATAATAAAGTTATTTTATCCATACGTATAATAGTAATTTGATTTTGCACTGTTAAGTTATACTTTGAAATCCACACTAATTCCTATTATATAATTTTTTGTTTGTTACCTCTAACTATTTGTTTTACTCCTTATTTCTACCATTTTTCTTCTTTTAATTATTTTAATGATAAACTTATGCATGTTAGCCAGTCTTATCACTCCTTATAAATGCCTCGTATTCAAAATTATTGTGATTACATATAATTATCATGTATAATATCATTCATAATAACATAAAGTAAAGATAAAAAAATATAAACCATATATATGAAAATTATTGAAAGCTTGGGCTTATCTGTTAATCTACATCATACACATTTTCAAAATCATATTAATATAATTTTGAGCTTGAAAACAAAATGACACTTTTTTCTACATCATAGTTACAACCAAAATTACATGAAAGATTATACCATTTGTCGAGTTCACATCAGCAACAACACAATGTAGAAAATGAACAAATATGTCAACGCCATGACAGCGGTGGCCGTGACAGTGGCATTGAACCGAGTCCCCGGATCTCGAGGATACCTAAACGCACATTAAGATGCTATCCAAATAGCAAGCGACAACAAGCTCTACACATGGATATGATTACAAGAGATGTACAAATAAGTATGAGACGCTACCACCTCGAGCGTAAAATATTTTTTCAGCTTATGGAACTCAAGAGACTGCAGATCAGGCACGGACGAACGAACGAGCATGTACTTGTCAAACGGCAGGTTTGGAAAATGGATTAGATTACATTTAATATGAAAACAAAATTACAATCATATTTTTATTTCATTATTTATAATTTTATTTAAATTTATCTGATAAATTATACATCAATTATAGTATTAATAAATAAATAACTGAAAAGCGTAATTCAAAAATAAAATGAACTTTATGCAAATAAGAAAATTGCATCCTAATAAAGTTGTTTCTAATTTTCGCAGGTTGATGCATTTCATAAAGCTGGTATGAATGGGCCATTACTCGGAGTAACGAGATACGACCATCAACCATTTACCTTCAGGTAAAAGTATAAAAATTGTTTTTATTATAATTAATAACTATTAGTGCATGCAAATTATAGTTCTAATATACAAAAATATATGTAATATATATGTTTAAAAAGCTCTTTTCTGTAATTTTATTTTTTATTGTAAACCTGACATTAAAAACAGGATATATACTACAGAATTCGTTATATATTAAAACTGCATAAAATATTTAATATATTAAATCTTGCGTCATTACTAATTTAACAACTATTGATAAAATATTTAATAAAGTATATATATTTAGTTATCTTGTAATATTAATAAATAATATTAAATATAACAAAGTACAGCGATAATGTATTTATAATATGTTTGCTTTTATTCTGACAATAAAAAGTTGTTATAAATATTATAAATACGTTATAACATAGGTTATAATTTATAACACATTATTATTTTTCGAATTTAATCATTTATTAAGAAGAGTTTAACCTTTAGTAAATGTATTATAATAGTTTTGTTTATTAACAGTTTATTATATAAATTCAAATTTTAATTGAATTTTAATTGAAATTTTTTCAATATTTTCATTTGATTTTACTTATATATTTTAATATAAAGAACTAATATAAAGAATGTAAAACTAAATATTTTTATTTATATAGGAATTTTGAGATATTTTTATATGAGCAGCTTCGAAAACTACAAAAGCGACCCACTACACCAGATTGGTGCACCGATGCAAAACAATGTATCCAAAAAACTCACCGCTGTCATCATGCAACAAGCGCCTATACTTCAGTCCCCATATATACATACCGTACGTTATTTCGAATTATCCTAATTAGTATTTACTTTAAGTATTTATTTACTTTTTTTCAATACCTACATTGTCGCTAGAAAGAAATGGATTACAATCTTTGATTTTAGATTATAATTGCAGTAGGTGGAGTCATCTCAAAACGGATGAATCTTCTTCCGAAGATTGAAAGTCATGGAAAAGGACGAATGACGGTAAATGATAATAGTAATGCAAAAATATCTCAGTTTTTATAAGTTATAAAGCTTATATTGGAAGAAATAGAATAAAAACAGAGTATAATGAAATAAATTATATATATACTATAAAAACTAATTTTATAAATGTACTGTTTACATAAAAAATTCTTGTGACACAAACATATTTTTGTAAAGATTCTAGTCATTTTTGTCTTTTTAACTATTTTATTAGCAATTATGTCATTTAATTTAAATTATTAAATTAAATGATTTTTTCATAAAAATCAACAATTTTAATCTTCCTATCGTAGTAAATCTTATCTATCAAAAGAGTTTTAATAAGTTTACAAATAAAATTGTAAAAATTAAGGAAAAATAAATTAAAATATATTAATTAATTAAAGTAAAATCAGGAACTCTAAAAATAATACACGTTTACTATAAACTCTAAATAATTGTTAATAATGTTGTTTTAATACGTTTATGCATAGTTTTAATAAGTATATTCGAGTTTATTAATTGTACATTTTTTATTATCTCTTATGATTTAAAATATATTTAGCATATACAATCTTACTTATTCATTACTCACAAACATTAAAATTCTGGAAGTATGTATTGTTACTAAGCCAAGACTAAGATTGTTAAATACAAATTGTTTCCATTATTTTTATTATCAATTTTAAGGTGGAAGTAACACATGGAGAGGAGAAGAAAGTAATAAGTCTACCATCAGAGAAACTCGATCGTGCCAAACGATATTACGTGACGTTCACTGTGCGTGGCGAAACAACCGATGGTGATAAGACCAAAACTCCACCTAACTCGACAATGCAGCGCAACACTAATAGCATTTAATATTCTGCAATTTATATTTTAAGTTAAGATGCATGTGATAATTTTTGTGTAAAATTTTTTGATTTTAATATATTTAAAACCAAATCATATATAAATTATAATTATATTTTTAATCATATTTAAAAAATAAATTCAATGTAATTCGATATCATTCTATGTAGTACGTAAACGTTTATTTTATTTTATTAAATATTAATGCCTTTATTATATTAAATTAAACTCATTGTTATCAACATTCATAATTTGAAATAAAAATTTAAAAAGATTGTTACAGTATACAAATTCCAATACGTTAAGGCTAAGTAGAAGCGTTCTAACAAATACTTTTAGAAGTATTCTATCAACATTATGATGAATATAATCAATATAATATATATATATATATGTGTGTGTGTGTGTGTGTGTGTGTGTCTCTCTGTGTGTGTGTGTGTGTGTGTGTTACATATATATTTAAATAATACTTTTTAAAATTGAACTTTGTGAAAATATAAAAATCGAAAATTCGACTTATTTTTTTAAACGAAAAAGATCGATTAAAATGTATGAATTGGTGATAATTATTAATATACTTTTAATATATATGTTCCTCTTCCTACAAATAAATTTAAATAGTAGTTTTAGTAATATACTTAATATAAGTAAAACATTGTAAATGTATCAACAGGTGCCTCGAATTTCTATCCTAGAAAGATGTACCTTTCAGTACAAATGTACGATTTATATATTGTAGGGATATTGAAAAAAAAAATATGAAGATGTATATTTTATTTATTAGACAATTAATATATGAAATAAACAAAAACAGGTTGCTTGAAATTTTTGGTGGTCAACGCATAATTGAAAATATATATATATATTTAATACTGTATTTTGAAAATTTATTCGGAATTCTAGGTATTACTATGTTATATTAGCTCAATTAATGAAACAACATTTAAAATAATAAATAAGCTACAATGTTATTATATGCGATAAATAAAAATATATAATTATTCAACAGTTTTTATATATTATTTTACCTTTTTTGATCAATTTTATTATTTCACCATAATTAACATTTATAATTTTTTGTATATATTTTAGATTATATTTTATAATCTGTATTAATAATCTAAAGTCTGCATTAAAGCTTAAAAAAATTTTTATAATAGAAAATAATCTTGGTAATTATGAATTATTATGATGAAAATATCATCTTATTTAAACAATTATTTTTCATATAATAGTGAACATTTTTTATAATAAATTTATTAACGTTTTTATTTAAAGGTAAGCTGTAATGAATTAACAAAAATATTAATATTTCCTGGATCTTCAACAAAACTCTTGTATTTTAATTACATTCTATTTAAAAATAACATCATTTCTATTTACCAAGTATAATGTAACTAAAATTAAACATTCACTTAGTACATTTTAATTGAAGATTTATTCGTCACGACATGATTTATTAATCACATTTTTTGATAAATAACATGACCTTCATATTTTACATTTTATATTTTACTTTATATAAGTAGAAAGGAAGCCAAAATAATTAAATAACAATGGAATGGTTAGATAGAAGCAGACAAGCCTTATGAGGTGAACATCAAGTAGTGAACAAAATAGTCGTATAAGTAAGCACAAGTGAAAGCTTCAGCAGCTCCAAACAACAAAACTATATCGATTCTACGAGTGGACGTGACTATAGGTGGCCTAGCATCTACAGTATCGTAATAACTGTAAAGTCGAAGCAGGTGACGAGATACTCAATATTCGTAAGCACGCATTCCTCCTACAAGTCGATGCCTAAGAGCTGATCTTAGAACATGTTGATCTGTACCATTGACGATATGGAAGATGCAAGTATCTCTTGATTTCAAACTGCTTCGACGCCGAACTACTTGCTAAAATCCGCATTTATGGACAAATGGCTCCAAGATAGGAAACTCTGGCTGTTTGGTAACACGTTGCCACTACTCCCGAGAAGGTATGTCATTAGTCGCTTAACACCAGACAACTTTATGAAAATATTTCAGTCGCGTGATTTTCAGTACAATCGTAGAACCTTTTAACACTGTCCCTATTAGCATATTGTACACTTTTTCTCCCAACTATCTCTCTCGCTCTTTATTCTCTCTCTCTCTCTCTCTCTCTTCGTTTGGAGCTTCCTGTCCAATAAACCACTTTCAGTTTTGATATCACGACCTTGCATATCTATCATATGTGGAATTTACACAGCATCTAAATACCAAATATTTTTATATTTTCGGATGTTTCATGAAATTTTTCAGATTTTTTTTATTATTAAATATGTCCTTTTAAATATGTATTTTAATTAATTATAGGACTAAAATCCTCGTTTAGTCCCAAAAGATAAGTATGAATACAATTGCACGTGCAAAACAGTCATGCAATCCAATTAAAAAAATTAAAATGCTGCAGAATGTGCTGAAAATCCACGTATACATCATATTATATGAGGCCTGTTATATAGTACACATAAATTAAATTTAAAATTATTCATATGAGAATAATTAATAAAATAATAATTTGATAACTTTAGAGCTAGAACTACAATTTAAACCAATTAATATACAGAATATTAAATTTTTTTTTATGTTTAAGTACATATTTTGATTTATTATTAGATACACGTTTAATGAAAAAAGTACAATAAATTTTATTATATCATAAATAAAGATTTATATTTTTGAATATAGCTAAATTAATTATTGAGCAAACATACCCAAGGAACATACATGTGAAAGTGATTTTCAATCAAATATTGAGAGAAAAACGTCATCACTTACCTTTAAAAAAATTATTATAAAACAATTTTTGCAAATGATATTAAGAAGGAAATAATGGTGTCTTCAAATTTATCAATTATTGAAAATATTAGCAGAGGTATAATTAGATTACGGTCTAATCTACTAACCTCTTTAGAGTAAAGTATAGCAGACGATGGCAATTGAATTGTAAAAGGAACCATTTGAAACTAGAAATTTTTTTTATCGATTTTCTATGTAGAAAGAATTATATTATTAAATTATTTTGTCATAGATAACTTAGCTTCAATCCTTTGTCATGGTAGTTCATTTATATGACATCTCTAGTTTTTTTTTAATTTAAAATTTCACCCAACAGAATAGTTAATAACAGAATAAATAGTATTAATATAAATATATAGAATAAATAGTAATAATAAAAGAATAAATACTTAATAACGGAATAGTAACATGAAATTTAATATTTTAATAAGAAATTAATTATTTGAAAATACAATTTATACCTAATAAAATTATTATAAATATCTACATTATAGATGGATACAATAGATATATCAAATAATATAAATATTTATTAAAAGTAAATCGCATTCTTACAAATTTTTTTAAATTTATATTTATAAAGACTAATACCAATAGTGTTGTTATCAATAGTAAAAATACAAATCGTAATATGTAATAGTTTCTATTATTTATAGTTTATGATTGATTTATAGTTTCTAACAGCATAAAATATAAATGCATTATTCTAATATCTATTACATAAAAATTTAATCATATTTTAAAGCCTTTTACGTACTAATACGTATTAACACCATTTTTCAAAACAGATTAATTTTTTTTAAGAGTACAGATCATTTTATTTACATTAATTTTATTGTATAATAAATAATTGATAAATATGTGTTATTTAAATTCATTCAAATTCAAAATTAATTAAAAATAGATTTATTTGTATTAAATAATTTAATTAAATAATATTTATTTTCTTTATTTTCTTGATTTAAATAAATAAACAAACATTAACTTATATAAGTGCGAAAAAATAAATATTTTAAAACTATTATTTTTTATAATCAAAATTAGTTCTACGAATGAAATTTCTTATTTTAATTTGATTTAAATATTTAAATAAAATACTATATATTAAAAATTTTGAATCATTTACTTCAGATTTTTCCTATATATGTGAATAAAAACTATACAATTAATATATTTTATTAATTGAAAAAAAATATTATAGATCAACAAACATTATTTTATTAAAGGAAAATGTATAGATGCTAGTGTTTAATATATAAAATTTCATATCATTTTAAAATTATAAAGCAAAAATTAAATTATTACTATTGTATCATATTAAATTATATTAATAATAATAGAGTCCATGGGGCATTAAACGTTATTTAATATAACGTTTATATATTGTTGGTATAATAATATTGAAATATATTACTTTTAGTTTTTGAATACTATCATATTATAGGTTTAGAAATCAATACATATTAAAGTTTTGATTAATTGATACTAATTAACGAATGTGAATATGGAATCTGTAATTGACTTTTAAAAAGAATACGACATTGCATTTTATTATAAGTATTAATAATAATTAACAAGTATAAATACACCTTAATTGCCTTTAATTAACCTTTCAAAATTTTTAAATTTGCCTTTAAAATTAACCTCATAATGAAAAAAAGCGCTTCATAATGCCAAAATGAAATAATTGCCAACCATTTTTAGTTATCATAAAATAAACAAATTTAATTTCAATGAATAGTGATCTTTCTTGGATAAAAATAATAAAATTATTCATGTAAAAGCTATTAGAAAACTATATAGACTATTGACACCACTTTAAATAACTACTAATTTAAGAAGTTTAACAAATAGGGACCAGTAATTGACAACATCTTACAAGAGACTTTTAATTCCCTCAATACAATTACAAAATTACACACCTCAAATAAAAGAATAACGATATCAAACAAGTGACTTTAATTATCTTTTTAAATTATGCAAATAAATATTGAAATTAATATTAGATAGTTGTTTAAATATGAGATATATATATATATATATATATATATATATGATTCCAATCTTTTGCATCGATTCATTTTATACGAATATTTATATTGAGTTTTTCTTTTATATTGAATAATGTAGGTGATCAAATAATAATATGAAAGGTGTATATTGTTATATACTAAATTAAAAATG